TACAAGTATGGGCCAGTGGTTCTCCTACTGACTAGTTGTTTTTTGTTAGAGCTTGTGCCATTGTGGGAGCAGAAAGCATCTCAGCCACATCCAAACAGTGAGTGGAGATGAGTACCCTCAGTACCAGCTTTGCTAGGTGCACATGCCCCCCTGGTGGTATGAGCTGACCGCCACGGTTTTCATGGCGTTAGCTGGTTTCAACTGACCCACTTAGGACAGCAAGATAAAAAATAAAAATAAAAGCCCACAAAATATTGACTTACCGTTACTAACATTTAATTTTACAAGAGAGGGCATAGGAAAGGAGGGACTAGAAACACTGCTATCATCATTGTATGAGAGGAGAGGTTATATTTTAATATGAAAAAGTAAAAGTAGGAAAGATATAATCTTAACCCTTAAAAAATAAAATTAGACCTAACCGGTTTGGCTCAGTGGATAGAGCGTCGGCCTGTGGACTGAAAGGTCCCCGGTTCGATTCTGGTCAAGGGCATGTACCTTGGTTGCCGGCACATCCCCAGTAGGGGGTGTATAGGAGGCGGCTGACTGATGTTCCTCTCCCATTGATATTTCTAACTCTCTATCCCTCTCCTTCCGCTCTGTGAAAAATCAATAAAATATATTTTTTTAAAAAAAGTAAAATTAGCTTTAGGAAAAAGCTATCCTTGTTTTCTTCATTTTATTCCTAATTGGTGAAAACTTTGACCTCTGGTTTGCTTTGGCAGATAGGCCTTTGGGAATCGGTGCTCTGGGAAACCAGCAGCTCACAGGATGCTAAGGGCATGCATGCCATTCATTGCTTCACAGAGAAACCTCCTTTGCTCTAAGGAATCTACAAATAGGGCTACATGAGTAAACTCACCAAGCAATGTGACCATAAGGGAGGGAAAATAAAGAGATGTAAGTGGCTCTTTAGCATTTGAAATATTTGCGGTGCATTAATCAAAATCTCTAAACTCACACAGTGCTTTGGTCATACTGTAAGGATAGCAATTTCTCACCGATCAATGGTTTTTATCAAGAAGATTTTAGGAGCAAAATGTATCCAAATTTAAAAAAAAATTATGTTGGCAGAAAGCAATGTTATCTCCTTAAAATGGAGATCATGAAAAGATTGTTGTTCCCATCTCTTGTGGCCTATGACGTTGTATCAATGGGCCAGTTTAAAACCCATTACGTGGCTCCAAGACCACACCCAGACAATCTAGCACAGTGATGATTTGTGAAAAGATGATTTGTGGTTGCATAAGCACTTTTCTGAGGTTAAGAAGATAAAATCAAGAATATGAGGATTTTAGGAGCAAAATGTATCCAAATTTAAAAACAATTATGTTGGCAGAATGCAATGTTATCTCCTGAAAACGGAGATCATGAAAAGATTGTTGTTCCCGTCTCTTGTGGTCTATGACGTTGTGTCAATGGGCCAGTTTAAAACCCATTACATGGCTGCAAGACCACACCCAGACAATCTAGCACAGTGATGATTTCTGAAAGGATCGGGGAGTTGCACAAGCACTTTTCTGAGGTTGAGAAGATAAAATCAAGAATATGAGTGCCAGAGAGACATTACATTGCAAGCCCCTAAGGACTGGTTTGAAGACATTCAAACTTATGGGGAGTCTGCCTCAGTACATAATGCATTAGCAATGGCCCCTGAGTGGCCGGCTGTGCCTACAGAAGCAGTGTTTGCTGTTTGTTTAATGCAGCTGAGGATAGAGGTTTGGTGCATCTTCCCTTCACTCCACTTCCAGCTCCAACTACATTCCTGTCCCATTCATTTACTATTGTACACTTTACAAGAGGTGTCTTATAGTTCTTTCTGGGAAGAGTATATTGAATCACCTTTTTCCCAGCAGTAGGCCATCAATCATCTTAATCACTGCTGGGGTTTCTTTTTAAGTTGTGTTTTGGGGTGTGTGTGTGTGTGTGTGTGTGTGTGTGTGTTTTAATACGTTTTTATTGATTTCAGAGAGTAAGGGAGAGGAAGAGATAGAAACATCAATGATGCGAAATAATCATTGATCAGTTGCTTCCAGCATGCCCCCCTACTGGGGACCCAGCCAGCAACCCAGGCATGTGCCCTGACTGGAAATTTAACTGTGACTTCCTGGTTCATAGGTCAATGCTCACCCACTAAGCCACACCGCCCGAGTAGTGCCAGATTTTTTTTTTCTGATCTTGGCTTTCAGAAGGGGAATAATGATGATGATGAAAAATAGTAATAATGAGTCCTTGAGTTCTAGGTGGGGAAAGATTCACTCAATAGGCAGAATAAATGACCTAGCCTTCATTTCAAATATGAAGAAGGCATTCTTAGGTAGGTCTAGACTCACCGGAAAAATAAATTAGCCTATCTCAAATATC